TTTCCCTCTTACATCCCTGAGCTTTGACAGAAACTGAGATTGGGGAAGCACAAACAACAGGGTTCTTTACTGTGTCACTTTGTTCTTTACTGAATATTCTGTAGTTTCAGAAAAGAAAAATATAGCAATATAAAAGTCATAATTTCGTGTGTGTAGGACTATGCTTGGTAGTATTCTCTGGCTTAAAGGATGTATTTCTTTTAATAAGGATTGTACAGCTGCACTTAATTTTGGAGAGACAAGTGATGAAGGAAATAATAGCACTTCTGGAAGAAAAATATTTTGAATTGACTTACCTTTTTAGACTGCTCTCAAGTAGTAGTGATTACAAGCTATTCCGAATGATCTTAGAAAGACTGATGTTACTTTAACTTTTAAGAATTTTCTAGATTACTGTATCAAAAAATACAATTTCTCTTTCAAATACTGTATGAAAGCTAATGCTGACAGTAAATTCCACTGTTCTCTAAAATTATTCATATTAAATGCAATTACTTTCAAATCCATTATTCTAATAACTAATGTTCGAGTAAGGCGAAAAATATTTGCAGCGCTGAGACTTAGCCTATGTACGTTGCTTTGTCATTTGGATAAGATTCCAAATATGTTATCTTTGACTTTTATGGGGTTTAAACTCTTTCAGTTTAATATAATTGTGTTTTGTGGCTTGTTTTTGTTGGTGTTTTTTCTACCTAGTCATGGAGAGTCTTCGATACTGAAGGGTCATACAGGATCTGTTCGTAGCGTGAGCTTCTCGCATGATGGCCACTTTCTAGTTTCAGCATCCAATGATAAATCAATAAAGATATGGAATGTTATCCATCAGCGCCTTTTTTTTTCTCTATTCCAGCACACTCATTGGGTTCACTGTGCCAAGTAAGCATTATTTTTATTCTCTTTGTGAAGAAGCAGAACTCCTAACAAAGGGGTTTTATTTAGATATAAGGGAGAAAAAATTGTGGATGATAAATTATGATCTATCACTAATAATGGAATTTTAATAAATCAATCTTATATATGTACGTTTTATATATGTCTCCAAGTTGAAGTCTGAAAACTTGCTCTGTTAATGTGGGTACATATTAAATCTATTTTTGGGTTCTAGTTCTTTTATTTTGAAGAACAAACAGTCTTCTGTATTTATTTTCAATCAGAATCGTGTCCTTCCCCAGTCTTGTAAGTTTTTGGGATGTATTAATTTATTTCACAGCATTCACTTGTTTCTAGATTTATTATGCACAGTAGAGGTTTTCTCAACTATTCTTGGAACAGTAGTGGCATAAAAGAATGGTCATGAGACAAAATGAGTTAAGCTTACATAATTGGAAAAGGTAAAAGAAATGTCCTTTGTACTGCACGTTAAGATTTGCACTCTTAGGCAGGGCAGCTCTTCAAAGACAAGAAAAGATTGTTCTTTGCTGACTTTTTTTTTTTTTCTCCTTTCCTCTATATTAATGGAAAATATGCAGCTAAGGGAGGCCTGATTTAAACCTCTTGAGAAAGAAAATTAACACTGGTGAAGTGCAGAGCCCTACAAAGTTCCAAAGTATCTGAACATTGAAAAGGAAAATAAAATCTTTAGGAAATCATATGTGAAAATTCTTGAACAGTGTTCTAATATCCTTGTGCAGTTGCTCAATATGAGAAATCATAAAGATTGCTGAAATGATAGACAAATCCATTTCTCTGTTTAAATGCCTAGTCTGCTAGTCTAGGAATGATCATGATTTTTTTGCTGACAGTTTGTAAGTCTAGAAAGAACTCACAGGAGAATATATATGTAGGTTAAAAATGAACGCAAGGTTCTACTGTGTCCTCTTTGTCTTTTTGCCTATAGTTTTCTATAATAATCTCTTTGGCACCTGAAGTGACAACCTTAGGCTGCTGTTACCTTCCCCCCCACACTCCCTGTTTCTCTTGCTTGCAGCTCTGTTTTTAATTGTAGTTGATTGTGAAATGGAGGAGGGAGGAGTGGGTGGAGAAGCTTTTCTTTTTGGTTTTATTAATCCATGAGAAATATGAGAAATTCAACTGTCCTTTGAATGTTACACATTTGCATTCCAGACAGGCTTTCTTGGTTCTGGCATTTTGCTACTTATGTCTCGAATACTAATTGAGGTAGTGTCAGTTGTTTAGTAATGTATACATTTGCGTATTGCAGATTTTCACCTGATGGAAGACTAATAGCATCTTGCAGTGAGGATAAATCTGTTAGGATCTGGGATACAAGAAATAAAACTTGTATTGATAGCTTCTTAGATTATGGAGGGTAAGTGTTACTAGAAATAAGGAGAAATGTAAATGTGTAACTTTAATGAGATTAAATTCATGTTTTATGGTATTAACATCTATATATGTTACATCTGAAAATAGATCAAAGTTCTGCCACCCATGTAAACTAAAATAATTCATTTCACATTTTTTTTAAAGAGGTTAACTGGATGTACTTATACAGCTGTTTTCCAACAGTTAAGAAATAAGCAAGAGAGAAGTCTGAGAGAGTTGGGATTGTTCAGCCTGGAGAACAGAAGGCTTGGGGGAGACCTTATACTGGCCTTCCAGTACCTGAAGGGGTTCTACAGGAAGGCTGGGGAGGGACGTGTATTAACAAGGGCATCCAGCGACAGAACGAGGGATAATGGATTTAAACTGGAAGAGGGCAGATTTAGACTAGACATTAGAAAGAAATTCTTTACTATCAGGGTTGTGAGACACTGGAACAGGTTGCCCAGGGAAGTTGTGGATGCCCCATCCCTGGAGGTGTTCAAGGCCAGGCTGGATGAGGCTTTGAGCAACCTGGGCTAGTGGAAGGTGTCCCTGCCCATGGCGGGGGGGGTTGGAACTAAATCTGTAGAGTCCTTCCAACCCAAACCATTCTATGATTCTAAGTCAGATCATTCTTAGATTTTTGAACATTTTCATGTTTTTCCTCTATTTTGATGATGCTATTTGATATTGGATGCTTCAACAAGAAGAGAAGTTTACAAATTCTTCACTTGTTGATGAGAACAGTATTCCGTTAGCTTCAGTGGCCTGTCTTATTTAGGTTTAGAAAATACTTGCTTTTGCTTATCTGCGGTTTTCTTAAATATCTTGGAACCAGAGTTTTAATTAACAAATGCAATGGAATATTAGTGTTGTATATATGCTTTGCTAATTTCATGGCTAGCATCTTTATCCTTTTTTCCAAGCTAAAAGGTTGTTATAGCTAGGCATTCTGTTCTTAGATAAAATTATTTTACTTGCTGCTTGCAAACACTTTGCAGCACTTTCTTCTAGGAACTTCGTACTCCAACACAACTGTGAAGGTTTGTCAGGACAATTATACTATCTTTTTATCAAAAGCCAGATTATACAGTCTGATTTATTATGCACATCTTGTTTTCTTATGCTTATTTCAGTTGCTTGAAATACCTTATTTGAGTTTCCATATATGTGCATTCCACACAAGTTTGTGGCAACTCAGTGTTAATGTTGTGGGTTTTATATATGCGTATGTGTATATATCCCCCAAATATTTATTTGGAAACACATAATAAATCTATTTTCTTTAATTCTATTTAGATTTGCAAACTTTGTGGATTTCAACCCAAGTGGTACATGTATAGCTTCTGCAGGTTCCAATCATACAGTGAAGCTGTGGGATATTCGAATGAACAAGCTACTGCAGCATTACAAAGGTAAAAACAATGTAGTTTGTTGTATTTTCTTTAGAATGGAGCTCTTTGCAGTGAAATGTGATTTATTTGGATTATATGATTTCATTCTTTACTGGGGAAAGTGGACAAACAGGTCATATTGTTATTTTGTAAGTAATGTTTTTGTAGTCTAGCAACCCTAAAAATCCAACCTGAATCTTGATTATTCCCTTGCAATGCTTCTCTTAATTTTTAGAACAGAACTAAGCAAATAGTTTGGAAAGTCTGCTGTGCCCCAGCATTTTGGTTGTTTTTCCCTTAAATTAAGTAGTTTGTTGGACTTGATGATTCTTGAGGTCTTTTCCAACCTTAATGATTCTATGATTCTATGTTCTTTGAGAAGTAGAAAAGAGTCAAGAAGTGTACATTTGCTGTTAGTAGGTATCTACAGTCTTTGAATGTTGTCTTCTGTAAATTAGTTCACAGAGCAGGGGTTAATTGTGTATCATTCCATCCTTCTGGTAACTATCTCATCACTGCTTCTACTGATGGTACCCTTAAGATTTTGGATCTCTTAGAAGGAAGACTTATTTACACTCTTCATGGACACAAGGTATACACAATAATCCTGTTTAAATGGGGATCTTAATAGATTATGTGGTATCTTTTCAAAGGGAAAGTAGCATTTATGCCATTGTCTCTTATATCTTGCAAGTTGCAGATAAAAGTGGACAGCAAAATGTTGTATTAATATACCTTATCACAAGTTCGTAAGGAAATGCGTCCATTTTGCCTACAACCATGCAGTTACTCTGTCAATATTGTACGCATGCTTAATATTAAGTAATAGATCATGTTCTGAATTATTAATTAATTCACTCCCTTGATTGTCAGAATCAATTATTTGGCACATTAGTCTTTTTGTCTATTGAAAAACAGTGCTTTCTAAGGAGGGGAAAGCTTATGGATAACTTTTGTGAAGAGTAGCAGATATTTTCTCCTTTTCCTCTCAATGCAAAACAAACCCTACTCTTGATAATGAATCACTCAAACACATTGTGTTGAGTAATGTAATATATATTTCATAGTTTTCCATTGTAGAGTTAAAGCATAAAATCTAAGGAAAATACTGCTATTTTCCTAGTATTGATTGTAGTGATTGTAATGCAGCATCTTACAAAGATGTGCAATATTAACTCATCGATCAAGTTGTTTTGCAAAAACTTCACTACAGTCAAGTTGTTCCTTATTAAAATTGAAAAATGTATTTATATTGGATAACAGCATAAGTGTTTTTTCTCTTTGCATTAAAGCACCATGATTACAGTAATAACATCATTTCACTGTATGCTATTTTTTTTTCTTTTAGGGACCTGTATTTTCTGTGGCTTTTTCAAAAAGTGGTGAAAAATTTGCCTCAGGTGGAGCAGATGCTCAGGTTTGTGGCATTGTCTCTAAGTTAAATGTCTTAATGTTACAGTGGGTGTGAGTTAAATATGGTATGTTACTGAAACATGCTAATTACAGTATGCTGACATGTATTCTGTCTACTACTGTGTTATACAGACTTTTTTTAGCCTAAAGTTAAATTTGAGGAGAAAAATGATAAATACATGTTTTTAAAATTTGATCTTATCTACTTTCAGTTGGATGTTACAGTGAGGAGAAGGCCACAGTACTAGCCACTTCAGTTTTATATATTAAGGAATTATTTTTAAATAGAAACATGTAAAGTGTTGCAATTCAGTGTCAAAGTAGTTGTGTTGCAACTAGTATTAACACCTACATGCTTCACTAGTTTTTCACCTCTTTTTGAGTCACTGCTCTTGTAAGAATGAAGTTGTACTACTGGAAGAACTTTGGCTAGAATTGGGGAAAAATATCTCTTGTTAGCTTTGCTAATTTACAATAGTGAAACAGCAAAGTACTGTATTTTATACAGGGAAGAGTTGAGTATTTAAATTAATTTGAAACAGAAAAGTTACTTCAAACAGCAAATCATACAATTAATCTTCATCTGCTGTGATAAATCTCATAATTACAAACATACTACCAAGCTTGGAATCATCTCTATCAGGTCTTTACATTCTCCAAGAATAAAGAACTTTGTGAAACCCCAAGCCTTAAGCTACAATCTGAAAAGTTCCTTAATATTAGTTGTTTTTTTCATTGTTTCCTTATAAGAAGCTAAAAGCTCAACGTAGACACAGAAAGCCATGATGTAGAAACTAAGATCTTTTGAGTTTACCAGAAATCATGTTTATCTTCTGTTTTTTGGAGTTTGAAATATGTTTCGGCTAGTAACAGAGACAGTCTTGGAAAATAATAAATGTGTTTTAGCTGAAAATTTCAGTATCGTTAGAAAGAATACAGTCTATTTCTGGTTTTTACTTGATGCTTCGGCTAGGACACTTTCTAGAATGGCTTGAAGTCATTCCCACTCAAAGGAGAAAGATGAAAATTTCTTTCTGTCACAAGGTGTTAGTAAGAAGCAGTGCCAAAACTTCCAGTTATTGGAAAAGTGAAAATGTTGCCAAACTTCCAATATTAATTTTACAAACAGAAAAAAACCCAAGATTGTAGAAAAGATACTTATTCCTTGAGCCACTAGTCTAATCTTTTATTTTTTTCATACTATAAGGTTTTTTTTATGAGAATCTTTCAGTTCCAAAAAGAAACTTTGATTCCTAGGTAATCCTGAATTGTTGATCTTGCTTTTCATGAGCCTTTCTTTTGAGTTTTATGATGATTAGTAAGTGAAGTGCATGTATTAAACTAGGTCATATGACAGAAGATTAATCTGAGAAGCTGTGATGATGGAAAGGACTTAGAGTATTAAGCCTAACTCAACCTCCCAAATAAATGCCAGCATACCCTGCGAATGTATATACCCTGTCTTATTGCAAGGTTCCTCTGAATTTGGGGCCCCCTGAATGACATGCATTTCAGTGCAGTCGTGTCCTTGCATTTCTCCTGCTCTGACTCCATCCTGTAGAGCTGGTGGCACATGGGATCGTGAAGTGAGAAGGTATTATAGTGCAAAATCTTTGAGATTACTTTTTTCTCAGCTAATTGCATGAGAGGGAATATCCAGTTTGATCAGGAAGTGCTTTCTTAGGTAAATGTTGACTTAAAAAAATAGTTATAGTAGCTCTAGTAATGAAACCTGGTTTTATTTACCTTACAGAAGGGCATGTTTCTCTGTTGAAGTTTTTCCCCTGTGAGTTTTCTGGTGGGAGAGGGCTACTTATTTTGCTGTAACTTTCACTTTTGTATTGTAAGTTTTAAAATGTGCAGTGCTAACCATTGTGTGCTATGCCTATGTATCTTTATCTACAGTAAACATAAGAACTTTATTATTCAGTGTCCATTTTCTGTTGGTGTATACACATGTACTCAACAAACATCCTTTTTTTGATTACATGTCCACAGCCCTCTTCCACATCTGCCAGGAGAATAGTTGTGGGACCTCTTTTCAACTCACTGTGCAAGAATTAAGTTGGTTTACTGTAAATGTAGGGTGTATTCATTTGAAAAGCTCTGCTGGCAGATTGGCAATATCAAGCTGATGAGCAGAGGCTGGACATAAAAGTGTCATCTTCTATCCTCCGTGCAACATCCAAAAGATATTGTCTGTCCACTGCATGAGTTAGAGGCAGCTGATTCATTGTAACTTTGCCACAGATTAATTGCTTCATGCACATATTATTTCAAGACTTACATTTTCAAAAACAAGTACAATCTGGTTTTACTCTATCAAAGAAGGAAAACCAGTATCTTTCCTTCTAGTGTCTGGTTTCTTCTTGGTTGGTGCAGAGCCAGCTGAAAGATTTGTTCAGAAGCATATTAAGTATTTGAAACAAGCACTGAATACTTCTTTTGTTTCTTCCTGTTTCTTTCTTTCCTTGATCAAAAAAACCCAGAACATGTTGAGTTCTGAAGTTCACATTCTTCACGCATCTTGGCTATATGTGCACATGCAAATTATTGCACTTACCTGCTTCCCTGGAAGACATAAGACCTTTTACTCTTAAGTGAAAGAACGAAGTTACAGATATTCCTTTGGAGTAACCTGTGCTGTTAATTCAGTTCTTAACAGCATAGAAGAGGCAACTCATTGTGTCTGGTGACTGCTTTGTTGTAAAGGGAAATACTTCCTTCTGGAACAACTCTTTTTCTAAGGTTGTGCATAGTTGCTTTTGTGCTTTTTACTTTGCAGTTCAGATACTCAAGACATATACATATGTTTCCATGCTGATTTTACTCTTAGTAATTTTGGTATCTGTCATGATGAAGCTGTAGTGGCACAGCCTTCCGCTTTAGAGCAAAATGAAACATATTTAGAGCTCAAGCAGCTGAAATGCTCACCACTGATAAACGGTCCCACTTCTACTGACTCCTGTCTATACCCTTGTTTACACTCAGTGCTGAGCCCGTTCGAATTGTTAAACCAGCAGAAAATAAGCCTGGAAAAATGGGGAAAAGCCACATAAAAAAATTGAATAGTTTTTGCTGGATTGGGTGGTGGAGATAGTGCAACTACACAGCTGAGAAGCAGAGGGAGAGAAAGCAGGACCTCCCTCTTACAGCACAGTGAGCTATTGTGAATCAACAAATCTAACACCTAATTGTCCTGCAAGTGCCAGGTTCTGAGGCAGGTTTGTATAGCTTGTACTGAGATCCGTGTATCCCACTTTCACTGTTACTGATGTCTGAGTTAGTTTGGGTCCACCTTTACTGGTACACCATGTCTCCCAGTGCATATTTAGGGTCTTCTACTTAACAGAGTAGTGAAAAATGTTGAGCCTGAAATGAACTAGTAGCAATGCAGCTACTTAGGAATATATTGAAAATATTATTTAGTCTGCAGGGAATTTCTGTGAAAAAATCTGATTTGTGCTGCTTTTATATAATTTACTAATGTATAAAAAATACTTCTAGTGGTTGTCAGAAATGCTTGTGACTGGACAGGCAAGTAATTTCAAGTCAGATCATGGTCCCATCTTTCTTTCCTCTAGTTTAGGGAGAAGCTATAAAAATCAACATTGGACTTTTGGAAACTGCCATTTTCTAAGTGTTATGAAGTTTCTTTTTTATTTTCTTTTTTTCCCTTAGCACTTAAAGTAACAAAGATGACACAAATCCTGTAAACTTAATTAAATTACTTACCTATACAATTGTTTTGTGACATGAGGGAGCAACATTGTGCGATTTGATTTCCTGGTCTATCCATAAAGCTGGATAGACTACCTTCCACTGTCTTACCTCTGCGTTCCACTACCTTACTTTTGCATTTGGCTGTGGTGTGACTGCTATATATTGTTTCTACCTTTAATGTAATTGGACAAGGTTCAGAAAACAGATTCCTGTTCCTAGAAGACTAGAACCAAGTGCTTTAGAGTTCTGTGGATCTCTGTCATTTCTCTTATCCCTTCAAACCTTCTCATCTGACCTGCAAGCCTTTATAGAGGACAGAAATTTGATAGTCTATGGCCCCTTGATTTGGCAGAAAAATAACTTAGTACAGTCCAGTGGGACAGAAGTTGACTTTCTTTTAGAGGTGGTTTTTTTTTTTTTAAATGGTTTGAACCACGTCTATTAGACTTGGAGTACAAGATACTCTGGGGAAGTGCTTGTGTTGTAGTAGAGATCAGACAAAGTGATGACAGCAGGCTCACTGTGATATCATGATCTATTAGTAATAAGTCACATTGTTATGTTTTGGGCACTGAACAGGCTTCAAGTAGTTACTGGTATGATGACTTCTTACAGGTATTGCTATGGAAAACCAACTTTGATTCATTTGATTATAAAGAAGTTCTTAAACACCATATTAGAAGAACACATATTGATGATCCTCCTCATCTTCTTGATGTTTACCCGAGGTCACCTCATCTCCATGATGAAAAACTTCAGTCAGTTGAGGTGAGTGGAACAAGTACTCTAATATAGGAAACTAGAAGCTTTTGTAAACACTATCTGTCTAGCATTCATAGTTAAATGTGTTCTATGTGTACCAGAGAACTTTTTGTTATGTATGATAACTTTGGAAGCAACTGTAACTTATGAATCCACATTAAGATTACAAGGCTAGCTGATGCTGTCAGATTTATCCTGTGAATTCCTTTCATACTTCTTGTGTAAGTCTGTACTCTGCACCTGACTTAAAAAAAAACATAGGCAATAGTTTGGTTTCTGAAGTAACATGGCAACTGTTGCAGAAGATATTCTGAAACTTCAGTGAGCTTTAGAATGCTACTCAAAATGTATCATTATAAAAGCAGGACAAGGTAGCATTATTACTGAAAGGCAAATATTTGATTGTCACAAATTGCCCCTCTTTCCAAGACTCTTTGCTATTGTGACAAGATCTTGATATGTATCTAAAAGTTTAAAAAGCCTTTCTAGGCAGTAGTGTGTTTTATGTCACTATGTAGTCTGATTTCCTGATAATTTAATTCTACTACTAAGTCTAGCTACTTTACTGTCAAACTTTCCACCAATAACCCTTGGAAGTATTGAGAATTCAGGAACCAAGGTGAAATGTCGAAAATTCTGTGTCAGTATTTGGAAAATCCCATGTTTCTCAGGTTGTCTGAGAGCTATGATAAGTCAGTGAACAGTACTATGCCTTAGACAAGACCATTGTTTATGCTAAAACCCAAGGGATATATTTGTGACTGTCCTTGGTAGATCTGGCTAGCTTCTGCATGGTGATTACCTATACTTTGATCTCTTCTTTGATATTCTCCAGATGCTTCTACTGTCCAAGAGCTGTATCTGATATAAATCTAGGAACACTTTGGTTGCAGTTGTATACTAATAGATTACTCTAGAAATTCACTGTGCCTGGTTTTGTTCATATAAAATGCAGATACTGCTGACATGGTATTTGTTTCCTGGTCAGACTTTTAAAAGATTGTGATTTGAGGATATTGAGCTTTTTTTGTGTGTATGTGTCTGCAATATGGGTATATGCAATATGAGTAGTAGAAAGATTGAAAATATTTTGGTGGAGGAGGGGATAGAATCCATCACTAAGTATTCTCATTTGTCTAGTTCTATTGTCAAGTTGGATGTGAAGCTTTCTGCTGCTCAACAAGAGCAGACCAACTGCATGTATGACAAGCTTCATAAAGAAACTCTGTGCCAGACTGTCATGTTCATTGTAAGGTCAATGAATGGAATGAAGTTTACTGATAGCAGCCTTCAGTATAGGTGGTTGTCGTGGGTTAAGCACAGACTGCTTAAAGTTAACTCTGTTAGTTTTTTTTTTTTTCTCCTTCTTCTTCATAAATAGCTAGCAAGAGGCTGTGTTTTGGGTTTAGGCTCAGGACAGTAGCTGATAAGAACGATATGTTGTTCTGCTGCCAAGGTCAGCAGACAAGCAAAGAGACACAGTCCAGCTGCTAGCCTGATTTGCTCTTAGGTTAAGATTGAGAACCAGACTGACCAATGATTTATTCCATATCATGCACGTCATGCCCAGTATATAGGTAAGAACACCCAGAAGAGTATTCTTTTTTGCCTTCTCTCCGCTTTCGGTTTCGGTGCTCTCTTCTGGCTCTGCATCGCTCTCCCGGGGCCTTCCCCCCCAGCCCCCACCTGGGACGCTCAAATCGTTATCTCTGTTCCGTGAGTTTTGGGATCCTCCCTCTCCGGGGGGATCATTAGCTGTGGCCAGGTGGTCGTTTTCCCCCTACTCCGCTCAGCTCTTGGTCCAGGACGCTGGGAATGTTATCTCCATTCCGTGAGTGCCTCCGGGAGCGGTGCACCCCCCGTCTGGGGGAATCCCCCTCCCCCCCATTTGGGGGAATCGTGAGTATAGCTCTGGGGATCATTAGCTGTGGCCAGGTGGTCGTTTTCCCCCTACTCCGCTCAGCTCTTGGTCCAGGACGCTGGGAATGTTATCTCCATTCCGTGAGTGCCTCCGG